GTTCTCCCATGTAAATCATCACATAATTCACAATAAAACATTAAAAAAAAAAAAAGAGTGAGAGAGAGACAAGAGCAAGGAGAGGAGCGTGTTCTTTGGAGCCCAAGATCCATGTGCACTGATCCTCCTCCATCTAAGGGACAGAGAGCTGTGACACCAGAAATAATAAGAGACATGGCAGAGATGCGACAGGCACATGGCAGCAGCAGAAGCTAGAGCAGGAGGATTCTTGTGGAAGAGGGTACACCCTGGGCATTTTCTGGGAAGCTAGGTTTGCTGACCCCTGAAGCTAGAGCCGAGCACCTTCGAGCTGAGGCTAATGGTGGAGTGGAATGTTTCTGGGGCATTTATTGACAGAGCTAAATCCATTTTGTAACACTTGACTGAACAGGGTAGGAGGCTAAGGAGCCACATGGCTAAAAGGCCAAGGACCAGAGAGAGGCCTGCCTGCACACAGGGCTGGGAAGAAGCTGTCCTCATCCAACAACTGTATTCTGAGTATTTCTGATCCTGAATCTGTTACCAGTTATTTCCCTAATAAAGCCCATAAACGTGAATATGGTCTATGGGTTCCAGGTGTCCATAACCGAACCCAGTAGAGAACTAGAGAGCGCCTTAGGACGGGCAGTTTATGGTGTTAGAATCGGGAAGGAAGGTTGGAGGGTGTAGGCATATCTGACTCCACCTCATAGGAATTTGCCTTGGACTGATGGTGACTTTAATTCTCCTTTCCCCTTGTGTTATCAGAGGAGGTCAGATGCTGTCTCCAGGCTACACTTACACAAAGTAAGTAAAAATATGGGTACATATAATAGGCTTTTGGTAAAGTGGACGATCGGAGAAAAAGAGGAAGAACCCCAACGAGGTGGACTCGCACAGTGGCAGGAGCAATGGGCTCAGGTGTAGCAAAGATTGTGAGGCTGAGGCAGGACCAGGCAGTGTTTGGTTCTGTTGTGCATGAGGTCACTATGAGTCAGCACTGACTCGATGGCACCTGACAACAGCAACCTAACAGGCTTTCCTTCTTATCTTGAGTGTTCTAAATTATGTTTGAAGATTGCAGAAAAAATTCTAACACCCATGTGGTTATAAATGTAAGCCAAAGAACAATTTACCACAATTATAAATGAGATGAAGGGTGTAAAAAGAAGTAAGCTTTCTATACTTCACGCGAATGGAAAAATGACATCAGCAGACTGTGTCAAAAAATATGTATATATATACACACACAGTGTGGTAGTGACAAGACCAATCACCAAAAATGCTAAAATAATACATGAAAAAAACCCCACTATTTGTTGTTAAGTGCCGACAAGTCACTTCCCACTCATAGTGACCCTGTGTAGGGTTTCTGAGGAGTGACTGTTTCAAACTGACCTTGCAGTCTAGTGCTTATCCTACAGAGCCACACCAGGACTACAAAAAACACTATGGTGGTGGCTGTGTGCCGTAGAGTCGGTTTCGACTCATAGCGACCCTGTCCAGGGTTTCTGAGGCTATAAATCTTTACAAGAGCATAACGCCTCATCTTTCTCTCATGATACAGCTAGTAGTTTGGAACTGCTGACCTTGAGGTTCGCAGCCCAATCAAAATTGAATTTTAAAATATGAGTAATCCATAAGAAAGCAGAAAAAGAAAAAAACAAAATCTAAAGAACAGAAAAAAAAGAGCAAATTGGAAAACCAAAGCCTTGACATCATTAATTACATTAATGTAAAGGCTCTACAGAGAATCAATGAAAAGACAGAGACTGGTGGAGTGCAATAAAAAACATGCCCCAACTAAATACTGCCTACAAGAAACTCACTTTAAACATAGCAATACATAGCCAAGTTGAAAGAAAAAGGAGGGACAAAGATATACCTTGCAAGCATTTGTAAAAGGAAAGATAATCAGATAAAGCTGGATATCAGATAAAATCAGTATCAGATATAATAGAATTCACAGCAAAGAAAATGACCAGCAGTGGAAAGGAACATTATATACTACTATAGGGATCAGTCCAATAAGAAGACACCATAAATGTTATGCATCAAACCACAGAGCTGTAAAATAAAGTAAAAACTGACAGAACTCGATAAAGAGGATTTACAAAAAGCCAACAGCTATTTTTACACTTAATGGTAAAAGACTGAATGCTTTCCCCTTAAAAACAGGAACAAAGGAAGCAAAGCAAGAATGCGGGCCTCTCTCTACTGTTACTCAACATAGTACTGGAATTTCCAGCCACTGATATAAGGCAAAACAAACAAACAAACAAGGAAATAAAATGCATGGAAGATCAAAAAGGATGAAATAAAAATGGTCTCTATTTTCAGATGGCATGATTATTGATGCAGAAAACACCAAAATATCAAGACATGCATTTTAAAAAACCCCTCAGTAGGTCACAGGATCACAGGATACAAGATGTATCCATATATATGTGTGTGTATGTATGTGTGTGTATATACATACATATATATGGATACATCTTGTATCCTGTGACCTATTGAGAGTGGTTCAAGCTCATCAGTTGCTCCTGGGAAACCCTATACAGGGTCACTATGGGTTGGAATCGACTCGTACAGGACTTGTATGCTAAAAACTACACAGTAGAGATCAAAGCCATTAGTTTTGAGTTGGGCTGCCAACCTCAAGGTCAGGCATTTCGAAACTACCAGCAATTCCGCGGGAGAAAGATGAGGTGTTCTGCTCCCATAAAGATTTATAGCAGGGTCACTATGAGTCGGAACCGACTCCACGGTACTTAACAACAACAAGTAAATGAAGAGAACACTATAATCAGGGACTGAATTTAGCATACTGCAGACATCAATTCTCCCCTAATTTACACATGTTTCACGCAAATTCTATCAAAATATTAGCAAGCTCTTTTTTGTAGATTTACATAAGCTCTTTCTAAAAAAAAATTATGGACAGGCAAAGGGAATAGAATAGTTAAGACAATCTTGAAATAAAGGGGGAAGAATCAGTCTATGCGATTTCAGACTTATTATATATTTAGTCTGTGTGGTATTAGCCAAGGGATAGATACGAAGATCAGTGAAACAGAATAGAGAACCTAGAAATTGACCACACAAATATGCTAAACTAACTCTTGACAAAAGTGCAACAGCACTTCATCAATGAAAAACAGCCTTTTCAACAAATGAATCTTAAACTCGGGTGAACAGACAGCCAGACAACAAACAAAGAGTGGGGTCAGTGCCAGCGTGTGGATAAGCAAGCACTGGACTACGAACCATAAGGTCGACAGTTCTAGCCGCCTAGCTGCCCTGTGGGAGAAAGATGAGGCTTTCTGCTAGGTCGCTCTTAACAAGTGACAACTTCTATTAAGTTAAATAAGCCATCCCTTCTAACAAGTCCGGCATTAAGCAATTCCAATCCATTATTTCATTTGATCATTACAAAATTCTCGAAGTATGTCCCTTTAACTTCATAGCTTCCTAAACGATTACCATGAGAGTATTTTGGCCCTTACACAGACCAGCACAGAAAACCCGGCACTCAAAACGAACGCACACCTCCCTTGAAGGAGAGAATTTCTCACATTGGAACACAGAAGGGCTGAACTGGAAAATCCCACCTCAAAGCACCAATCCTGAAAGCCAGCCCAAAGACTACTAGTAGGGGGCATTTGTGCAGATCCTGTACGTCCGTTATCTCATCTGTTCCCCACCACGACTGTTGTTGTTGTTAAGTGGCGTCCTGTCGGTTCCGACCCATAGCGACCCTGTATAGGGTTTCGGAGGAGCAGCTGGTGAGCTTGAACTGCCGACCTTACAGTTCAAACGGCTTTGCAGTCTGGCGCATTAAGCCACAGCGCCACACCAGGACTCCCCACCACGATGCTACTCCTTTAAAAAGTTCAGAAAGGCGCAACGACTTGCCCAGGATCGCACTGAGAGGTAGTGGTAGAATTGTGGTTTCCCATCAGGGTTTCTTTGTTCCCAATTCCAGCTCCTTCTAAAGTCTCGGAGACAAAGGTACGCCCCCACGCTGCCCACACCCTTCTGATTTACCTTGAGCAGGATTTGGAGAGCATCAAACTGCTCGAGTGTCACCACAGCCATTTTTCTAGTCACGTGACGTCGTACTCGGGAGGGCAGTCATGTGTCTCTTGTTGCCGCCGCGGGGCATTTTGGGGACTGTAGTCCTTCAGGAGGTGGGACTTGGTCGGGTAGCGGCCTTGCGGGCGTGGAAACTACCCAGAAACACACCGCGACCCGTTAGCTCAGCTGGAAACTCTAGGATTGCGGGATTGAGGGACGCGGGCGGAGAAAGATTTTCAGGGGTGGAACTTGACAGAGGAAGGGAGAGAAACTCTGGATTTCCCTTTACTCAAGCCTTATATGGAGTCCTGGTGTGGCGCTGTGGATTAATGCTCTGTTCTGCAAAGTCATTTGAACCACAAGGTCGGCGGTTCAAGCTCACCAGCTGTTATTCGGAAACCGTATACAGGGTCTCTGTGGGTGGGAACCGACTCGATGGTACTTCACTATAACAGCAGATCTTATAAAGTATGTAATGTTTGTTTGTGAATGGGCAGCACAGGCTGCTGGGATTTGCACCGGGCTCCTAGACCGTCTGGTGTGGTGCTGTAGAATAAGCACTGGGCCGCAAGGTTGGTTTGAACAGCTGCTCCTCGGAAACCCTATACAGGGTCGCTTTGAGTTGGAACCGACTCACTTAACAACAAACACCAACAACATAGGCCCTACCTCAAAACAGATCAAAATGGCAAATCTGGCATTGAAGGAACCACCCTAATCAGTCCCAGCTTTTCAGCCTTGAACTTCCTTTATAGTTGACTCTTCTTTCATTCCCCACCTTCGTTTCCTTGCTGAAATCTGGCTCAAAAACAAATACTGAGAAAGTCAAGTTAAGGAAAGAATACCTAATTATGAAATTCCAGGCAGCTGAGGACATTTGTTCTCTCTCGCCTCATTTTCCTGTACCTCCATTTTCTGAGGGGTTGTTTCCTAGGCCCAGGAGGGCGATCCTCTACCCAGACTGTAGAAGAATGTTAACAACGTTGTCATGTGATCCCAGCCTTTCCCTTCTCCAACAGCCCTATTCTTGCCCTCTGCCACAACTCACTGAACTTTAGACTAAAGACTTTCAGTATTAAGAGGGCCCAGTCCAATCCCTTTGCTGTTGCTGTTGTTAGGTGCATTTGAGGCGGTATCGCCTCATAGCGACCCTACTATGTACAACAGAAGGAAACACTACCTGGTCCTAGACAAACTTCACAAGGGTGGCCACTCTGAGCCCATTGCTTCCACCACTGTGCCAGTTCATCTCGTTGGGGGTCTTCCTCTTTTTCTCCCATGGCTTAGGTTTGTTAAATAAATATCCAAACAACAACAACAAAAGCAGCCAGAGTAGACCAAGGCTCATTTTTTCTAACTTTTCTTCAGGGATGTTGTTGGAGTTCAGGCCCAGAAAGGAAAAGCCTTCTGAGTACACAGATGCCAAGCGACTCATAAAATGACCAAAACTCAACCCAAGAGACATAAGTTTATTACGGAAAATAAAATAAAAGAGATGGTTTACCAAAAAGTGCATTTACCCACAAAGGGTGAGACACATCTGTGTTTAGTGGCAGCTGGCTGGATAGTGAAGTTTTTTGGTTCAAGGGGTGTGGGCTAGGGTCTTTTTATATCATAGGGTATACAAGCTTCACACACATAAGGGCAGTTAGGGATGATATGGAACACCAGGAGAGGTAGGAAAATCACAAGGTGCAAAGAATTTTTCTGTCTGCTCTCTAGGAAGGGGCTGTTTCCAGCAGTTGGCCTCCTCATCCTAGCATATGCATAACTAAAGGAGGAGAATGAGACTGCTCGTATACTCATAAGGAGGAGGGGGCTGTCTACTTCCTAGTTAGCAGGAGCAGGAGGAAGTGACAGTAAATAAGGTTTGAGGTTACCTTGGCATAGCCATTTTAGAGGCTTAGCTTGTGGCCCTACAGATGTTCTGACTAAGTCAGTTTTGACTCTTAGTGACCCTGTATAGGGTTTCTGAGGAGTGGCTGGTGGGTTTGAACTGCCAAGCTGAAGGGTGGTAGGCAGTCTCCAAGGCAGCCCTGAAAGATACTCCTACTTGCTAGTATTCACATCTTGTGTAGCCCCTCCCACACTGTGGTCCAAGAGCAAATAGCAGGCTGAGTGTGTATATCACTTCCAAGATTAGGTTCCAAAAGGCTGTGGCAGGCACCTGTCTTGTACACTCTCTTGTCTACCATGTCTCTCTCTCTCTCTCTCTCTCTTGCTGTCAGGGAAGTAAGTCACCACAGTAAGGCTCCTGTGACCAGGAACGGAAGCCTGCAGCCAGGCGCCAGCAAGCTCATCACGATAGGCTCATCACGCACGACAGGCTCTCCAGAAGCTTTGAGAAGACAGCAGCCATCCAGCTGCAACTTCATGAGGGCTTCTCTTAGCCAGAGCCGCCAGCTAAGCCATTTCCAGGTGTCTGCCCTTCAATCATGATGTTAGATGATAAGTTTTTGTTGTTTTAAGCAACTAAGTTTTGAGGTAATTTGTTACACAGCAAGAAAATACAAGGGACCAGGAAACATAGGGGCTCTACAATTCAACCTACGTTTGAATTCCAGCTCCACACCTTGAGCATATTCTTCAATATTTCCGAGCCTCGGTTTTAGTGCTGATCATACCTCCCTTAGAGAGCACAGCTGAGTGACAGGTGCTGTCTTCTTGGGAGGATGCTCGGCTCCACTTGTCCTTTTGGGCAGGTGTGGGATGAGGGGATCCCCTGGGCTCCAGTCAGTTCTAACATGGTGGTGGGGCAGGCACCTGAGCAGGTCTACAATCATGTCATCCCACTTTGGTGGGTCTGCCCAGAGGGTCACTGCTATGTTGTATTTTGAGGTATGTCAGTGACAATCTGGGAGCTTCCAGCAATTCCTAAACTATAAATATTTTCATGTCATAGGACAGAACAGAATGTCAGAGTTCATTCCTGCAACTTGGACCCACTGCCTGGCTGATTTGATTTCTTTCCAATTCTGTGTATATGAATCTCTGCTTCCTTTCATTCATTCAATAAACTCGTACATAGCATATGCTATATGCCAGATTCTGCTAAGCCTCTTAAACTTCCTGATTTATTTACTTCTCATAACCGTTCTACGTGATAGAAATACATAGAACTTTTATTATTTGATTTTGTAGGTGGAGAAACTGAGACATAGAGTGGTGAATTAACTTTCATAATGGTGTGGTGCTGTGGATCAGCGCTGGGCTGTGAACCACAAGGTCAGCAGTTGAGACCTATCAGCTGCTCCTTGGAAATCCTATTCAGGGTTGCTATGATTTGGAACCAACTCGATGGCACTTAACAACAACAAATGTCACATGGCTAATAAGTGACAAAGTTTAGATTCTCACTGGGGAAGTCCTACTCCGGAGTCTGTGCTGTTAGGGACCTTGTCTTCCTTAACTTGAAACTCATGCTTCTTCTGTTTGGTGCTTGAATACCTTGTTGCTGTTGTTAGGTGCCATCTAGTCAGTTCTGACTCATCACAACCTTATGCACAACAGAAGGAAACACTGCCCGGTCCTGCGGCATCCTCACAATTGTTGTTAAGCTTGAGCCCATTTCTGCTGCCACTTTGCCAGCCTATCTTATTGGGGATCTTCCTCTTTTTCACTGATCCTCCATTTCACCTAACATGTTGTCTTTCTCCAGGGACTGCTACCCCCTGACAACGTGTCCAAAGTGTGAGGAATGAAGTCTGGCCATCCTGGTCTTTAAGGAGCCCTCTGACTGTACTTCTTCCAACACAGGTTTGTTTGTTCTTCAAGCAGTAAATGGTACTTTAAACATTCTTCTCCAACACCATAATTCAATGTATCAATTCTTCTGCAGTCTTTCTTATTCATTGTTCAACTTTTAAATGCATATGAGGCTATTGAAAATACCATGGCTTGGGTCAGGTGCACCTTTGTCCTAAACTGACATCTTTACTCTTGAACATTTTACAGAGGTCTTGTGCTGCAGATTTGCCTAATGCAACACATCGTTTAATTTCTTGAGTGCTGCTTCCTGAGTGTCGCTAGTGGATCCAAGCAAGATGAAGTCTTTAACAATGTGGATCTTTTCTCCATTTATCATGATGTTATTTATTGATCCAGTGGTGAGGATTTTTGTTTTTGTATATTGAGGTGCAACCTATACGGAAGGCTGTGATCTATGATCTTCATCAGTAAGAATTGAAAGTCCTCTTCTCTTTTAGCAAACAAGGTTGTGTCATCTGCATATTGCAGGTTGTTAATGAGTTTTCCTTTAATCCTGGTGCCATGTTCTTCTTCATATAATCTAGCTTCTTTTAGTTTGTTGTACTGTGAGGTTTGTGTGTTCCTATGATTCTGGAAGCTATGCCATAGGCATTTTAAATACCAGCAAGGTCACCCATAGTGAAGAGGTTTCAGATGAGCTTCCAGATGAATACAGACTAGGAAGAGGGAGAGATGGATTACTTATGAATATTTCGTCACTGAAAACCTTGTGAATATCAGTGGAACACCATCAGTACCAGAATATTGAATACTGAAACACGATGAGGAGCATGAGAATATTGTCAAACTTAGTGCCAGAAGATGAGCCCTTCAGGTTGGAAGGCACTCAAAATATAACTGAGGAAGAATACCTCCTCAAAGTAGAGTTGACAGTGATGACACGAATAGAGTAAAGCCTTCAGGACTTCCATGTGCTGATGGGGCACAGCTCAAAATAAAGAGAAGCAGCTGTAAACACCCATTAATCACTGGAACAAGGAATGTACAAAGTATGAATCTAGGAAAATTGGAGATTGTCAAAAATGAAATGGAACACAAAAACATTGATATCCTAGGCATTAGTGAGCTGAGATGGACCGGTATTGGCCATTCTAAATCTGACAACCACATGGTTTACTATGCCGGGAATGACAAATTGAAGAGGAACGGTGTCATATTCATCCTTAAAAAAGAACATATCATGAATTTGTCTTGAAGAACAATGCTGTCTGTGATAGGATAATATAACATACATCTGCAAGGAAGATCTGGAGCCC